TGTCATCAAAACTTATCTTAGGATTCTAGGGTTGTGGAATTAGGGAGGGACCACTCAGAACCGTTCAGGATCCAGAAGCATTCTTAACAGCTCTGTCTACTTCACATCTTGTTCCCCTGGTGGAACGTCTGAGTTGGTGCTTTGGTGCTTAGACCAAATACGGTAGGGACCATGGTGTGAAACTGCGGCTTGACTGGTCCATGGTGTGGAATGGCGGCTTGACCCTCACTGACCCACCTGGACTTTGACACCATAACCCGCCAAGGGAACAACTGCCCCCTTGACGTTGTCTCATTTGAGCACTAGATGGCACTGTCCATCTTTTTTGCTTTTACCCAAAGGTGCCTGGCTCCTTTGGAGGGGACTTAAGGGAGAGGCATTCCAAAGACGTGCCATCGTGTACTCAACCAAGTCAAGCTCTTTCCAGCTTCGTTTTAAAATAAATATTAAGTGTCAGGGGCTTTTATGTAAAATAAGCTCCCAAATTCTACATTTGATTGTAATAGACTGTGTTATCTCTGAATACACAGCAGGGACTAGATTATGATTTTCAAAGCTTTGGCATTCTTCTGACCAGGCTTAGTTCATGGAGTTTCCTGGACATGGCCTTAGCCCGGGTTCTTCAGGTGGTAGAGACAAAATCATCTGATAAACCAGTAGGGATTCAGACCTGGCTGGTCTCACCTCGGGAGAGGGGCATAAAGATTCCCCTCTTCTAATAAAATCTCTGGTACGCCTCCCTGCCAGTTCCTGCTGGTCAAGGCTTCTGGGTTGCAAATAACCAGAAACCACCTCTAGTGAACGCAAACTCAAAAGGGATTTATTGGCAAGGTCCTGGGTCATTCGCGGGGTTTATGGAAAGTTGGAGAACGGCCCTCTGAATGGGGGCAGGGATTGCAGGGGGCTGAGTGGGCTGGAATCAGAGCCAGAATCAGGCCCTGGAATAGTCTGGATTAGGTTTTGGCTGCTGTTGCCACCACCGGTGAGGCCTGGGGACTGGGCATGGTCCTTGGCATGTCTGCCACTGCCAACCTGCTGCAGTTTTAATTTTATTTTAAACTGTCCCTGCTTGTTTATGTCACCTGCTGCGGATTCAAACAATCACCAAGTGAGAGCACATCACGGAACCTACTACCCAAAAAGTTCTTGTGTGCAGAGCTGTCACCCACCTGTGCACTGTCATTGTCATCTACTATTGTCATTCTAGCTCGTAAAATATTGACATATTTTAAAACCACCCTGGATCCATTCTCCTTCCCCTATCCAGCCACTAAGTGGTTAATACCAGGCACAGGCAAGGGCTTCCCAGCGAGTGCTACAGCTGGCATCTACTCCAGTTGCTGGACACTTATGGCAAAGTGATGGTTAAGTGTATTTATCCATCTGTTTACTTACTTACTGACTTATTTTAGAGACAAGATCTTGCTCTGTCACCTAAGCTAGAATGCAGTGGTGTGATCATAGCTCACTGTAACCTCCAACTCCTGGGCTTGAGTAGTAGGGATTACAGGTACGTACCAGTGTGCTTGGTTAATTTTTTGAGTGTGTGGAGATGAGGTCTCACTATATTGTCCAGGCTTGTCTCAAACTCCTGGCCTCAAACGATCCCCCCCCACTGTGGCTTCCCAAAGTGTTGGGATTACAGGTGTGAGCCACCACACTTGGCCAAGCATTCTGAATATTATCTCTGACCATGTCTACTTCAGGTCAGTTTGAAAGTAAGGATGGGGCTGACACTTAGACGTTAGTAGTTTATACTTTATTGAGGAGTATAAAATATGCAAAGGGCTATCCACATCCGACAGTGATTACTCATCATGTTTGAGTTGAAGCATCCTTTTTGTCTGGTTCATAAGACATCTCTATTCAGTTCTTCTTCAGCCTAAGAATGCTGTGTGCTTTGTACTCATTTTTAGAATTAAGATGAATTAAACTAAGCTATACAGAGGTAGCTGGTAACTGGATTATAGAGTGTTACAATGAAATATTACACAGCCATTAAAATGATGGATATGCGGACGGTGTAGAAACCCAGAAAAATGTTCTTGAAATATTTAACTTAAAAATTACCACACAAAGCTGTCCAGATATTATGTTTACAACTGTGTACATGTTATTCATGCATCTAGAGGTTAGAAAGCACTGTAAAGGGAGAAAAATAGTAGAATCTGAAAGATTTCTTTAATCATGCTTTAAAAATTGAGGAACTAGCCGGGCTCGGTGGCTCAGCCTGTAATCCCGCCCCTTTGGGAGGCTGAGGTGAGTGGATTGCCTGAGCCCGCGGGTTTGAGACCCTCCTGGGTAGCGAGACCTCATCTCTACAATAAATCAAAAAAATCAGCCGGGCGTGGTAATGCGCGCCTATAATTCCGGCTACTCGGAAGGCTGAGGCGGAAGGACTGCCGGAGCCCAGCAGGCGAGGCTGCAGTGGCCAGGAACGGCCACTGCACTCCAGTCTGGGCGACAGAGTGAGACTCCAACTAAAAAAAAAAAAAAAAAAAAATTGAGGAACTAAAACCTTACCATAACATTTATCATGAAAATTATTTGTAAGATTAAAACATTTGGATGATATCGCAGTAGCCCTTTTAGTCCTGGGGGGTAAACTGAGGCATCACAAAAGCTAGGGTGGGAAAACATGGGAGGATGCGGATAACAGCAGGTCTTGTGTTCCTTCACAGAAAGAACAAATGTTTCTACAACTTAGAGAACAACCAGAGGGAGCATTTGAAGGTCATGTGTTTGACAGTGACAGAGGCAGAGTGACTGCCGATGTGGGCTGCAGAAGAGGACTTAGAATGATTTTCTTTTTATCCCTGGCCTTCTACTCTGTCAGTTCCAAGGACAGTGAGCAAAGCAACTACCCAGAAAGGAAATCAGTGCCCAACTCAACTTTTTTGTTGTTGTTGTTAACCGAGTCTTACTCTGTTGCCTGGGCTGGAGCGCGTTGACACAATCATAGCTCACTGCAGCCTCGAACGCCTGGACTCAGGTAATCCTCCTGCCTCAGCCTTCTGAGTAGGTGGGACTATAGGCACATGCCACCATACCTGGCTAATTTTTTATATTATTTTTTGTAGAGATGGGGTATTACTATGTTGCCCAGGCTAGTGTCAAACTCCTGGCCTCAAGTGATCCTCCCACCTTGGCCTCCCAGAGTGCTGGGACAGGCATGAGTCACCATGTCCAGCCAACTTCAACTGTTTTAAAAAGGAAACTAAAGCATGTCTCCTTATGCAGACCCTCACACCATATCTCTGTATCTTGACAACCCTATTACAGAATTCATGATTCTCCAACATTGACTCTTACGCTTTAAAGTGCAGTAGGTGCACCTGGGATCTTGTTAAAATGCAGATTCTGATTCAGTAGGTATAGCATGGAGTCTGAGTTTCTGCATTTTTAATTGGCTCTCAACTAATGCCAGTACTGCCAGTTTGCAGATCACACTTTAAATATCAAGGTCCTGCATGTCCTGAGGACCTACTTTTCAGATCGTGTGACCTTCAGACGTGTTCAGAAAGACCTTGCTTTTCGAAGTATGTGCAAGACCTGTGCTTTGAAAACTAGAAAACGTTGCCAAGAGAAATTAAAGAAGACGTGGGTAGAAGGAGACAGGCCATACTCGTGAACTGGAAGACTCACTGTTGTTCAAATGTTAGTTTTCCCCAGATAGAACTATCCGCTCAACACAATCCTAATCAAAATTCCAACAGACTTTTTTTTAAGTAGAAATTGATAAGGTGGTTTTGAACTTCCCATGAAAATGCAGAGGGTCTGAAATAGCCAAAATGATTAAAAAAAAAAAAAAAAAAGGTCAAGTTGGAAGACCCACATTACCTGATTTCAAGACTATATAATTCTATAGTGATCAAAACAGTCCGTTATTAGATAAAGACAGCTCAATGGAACAAAACGGTCCAGATATTGACCTGTATGTGTATAGCCAGTTACTTTCTTAAAGTGTCATTCTGAGCCAGAGAAACCAGGCACAAAAGAGTAAATATACTACGATACCATTTAAGTAGGGCCCTAGAAAAGGCATATCCATAGTGACAGAGAGCCTCAGTGGTTTGGCGGGACTTGGGAAGGCACTTGGCTAGCGAGAGGCATGATGGAACTTTTGGGGGGCACAGGGGAACTTTTTGAGGTTACAGAATGTTGATATTGTCATTGTGCTACTGGTTATAGGATGTGCATGTATTTGTCAAAACTCACCAAATTCTACAATCAAAATGGATCTGTTTGGTTGTATGCAAATTATAACTCAACAAAAGACCTTCTGGATACATGTTAAGGCATTGCTGATGCAATGTACACTTTCCTTGGTTTGAAACCCTTCCGAGTCTAAAGATTATTCATTTGAACATTGGTGATTGATTGGTCTTCACCTCCAGATGAACTTGGGCCAGTGAGTCAGGCTGTCTGGGTTCGTGTCAGCCTCTTCACTGCTGCAGAAAAGCTGCTTTACCTCTCTCTGTGCCTCAGTTTCCTTATCTGTGTGAACTGACATGATCTTAGTGCTTACCTCATAGGGCTATTGTGAGAATAAATGCATTACTTTATTTAAAGCATGTAGAATATTTCCTTGCGCTCAGAAAGCTGTTTGTCAGCATTCTCTATTCTTGTTCACTTCTGATAATCAGTTAGTGTTGTCATCCTTCTTTCTCCTAAAATGTGTTTTTTCCCCTTCCTTTATTCTCTCCTTAAACCATGTGCTTTCTTGTAACTGGAGGCTGTAAACGGAATACTGGCTGGAAGAGATCTTGAGTAATACCGACACCAAGTGTGGGCGACAAAGCTGAGACCAAGGAGGTTGAGGGATGTCCCCAAGGTCACAATAGCATATCGGTGGCCGTGAACCAGACGCCTGACCCTGTGGCTCCTGGTTGAGCTCAGTTGTATCAAAGGCCACAGCAGTTGCATTTTGAATACTGACCGGCGGGACTTATGGTGGCCTGGCCGCTTATCAATTCCTTTGTGCGTTTGTTTTTCTGCAGAACAGTTGAGAGCCCCAGTTGTGGAAGACTCATCCTGCCTCCACCATGAGCTCTGGTAAGTCATTTTAAACTCCGTCATCCGTGCTACCCATCAAAAGAGGACTGCATAAAGAAAATGTGGTACATACACACAATGGAATATGACGCAGCCATAAAAAAGGACACAATAATGAACTTGACAGCAACCTGGATGAATTTAGAGTCTCTAATACTGAGTGATGTATCGCAGAAACAAAGAACCGAGTATCACATCTTCTCACTCATAAGCGGACCTTGAACAATTATCGTAATGACTTTAAGAAAAGAATTGGCAGTAGTGGGAATCTCCCGGGGGAGGGGCGACACACCTCATCAACAAGGGTATCTGCATAATGAACATCTGTATACCTAACCCTGAATTGTACCCCACATCTTTAAAATAAAAAATTAAAAGAGAAAGAAAGAAAAAAAATAAACCCCGTCTTTCTGTTGTCAGACCTCCCCACCAGGCAGTTTCCCCGGATCTACCACATACTCTGAAGGCCCCCGTGGCATTTTGTTTTTTACTTTGTGAAACCTGGGTGAGCGCCAGAGCTTTGTCATAAAGCGTCACGGTCACCATCATCACCTCCATTGTTAATGATTTTTGAGTGCCTCCCATTAGAAGACCTGTGCCGTATTCATGCAGTGTGTCCTAATCTTGACACTAGTTCCCTTCCCCTTCACTGGAATAAACAGCAACACGCTGCAGGTATTTTAGTATACACTGTGATGAATGCTTATGTGTGTGTACACCTCTGTGACATTCCTTCATCTGAGCAACTGCAGCAAAAGCAGATTGGCCACAGTTACCCCAGGGTGTGAGCTAATCTAATGCCTCCAATTTGCTTTGTCTTTGGTAGTAAAATTCAGACCCTAAGCAAAGAACCAATCTGGGATATGTTTAGCTTTGAGCTGGGGTGGGAAACACGGGAAGACAGAGATGGGAACAGATCCCTGTTCAAGGTGCAGCCAAGAGCTGTCCACTTTCCAGCCCAGAATTGGAGGCAGAGAAGTTCCCATCTGGAGATGAAGACCCATCTTGGCGACTGAGCATACCCGGCAGCCTCTTGGAACCTGCAGGGGGAGAAGCTGGGGCGGGGGTGACCGTGGAGTCCTCATTCAGGGTTTCCTGATCCTGCACTGTTTCAAGAGTGTTGTCAGAGACCCCTGTGGACTCAAAACAAGCCTGTTCCATTTACTGGCACACAGTACCCTTTGCACCAAGTTCCAAGCTGGATGGTGCGTGGTTAGGACCCAGGGGAGCTCCAGGTGGAACAGCTCAGGGTCACACCCTGGTCATGTCCTGTACTGATTGTGTGGCCTTGGGCTTGTGGTGGACCCTTCCCTGCCGTCTCCTCTACAAAACTGACATCATAACAGCACCAATTCACTGGGATTCGGGTGAGGATGAAGAGAGGCAGAGCTTTCAAAGTGCTGGACTCTGTCCAGGACACGGCAAGTGCTCTGTTCCTGGATTCTGACTGTTGCCAGCTCAGAGTCCCTCCTGCAAAGAGAGGGGCTTGGCTCGTCCAAGATGCTCTGAGGCTTTTGCTTTGTGTGAAGAGGCTGGGCATGGTCCCCCTCCAGGTGAACTTGCTAGTAGTTCTTGCTTTGTAGCTCATTTTTGTGTTGTCTGTTTGGCTTTTTGCTTTTGCTATCACTTCAAATAGACCATGGCTTTTTTTTTTTTAACTTTTGCTCTGCAAGACGATTTTTGCTTTTCTAGAGTCAGAATGAACCTAAACTGGTGTTACCCCTCCTGGGATTAATAAGACCTGAGGAGGAAGGGAGGGTCTGGAAGGAGAGGAAGGATGTGAAAACGCCCAGGGTCTCCTCCCAGCATCTCTCTCAGGTGGATGCTGGAAGGAGAAATTGCCTAAGAAGAGTCCAAAAATTCTGGACCCTTTGATCTGATAATCCCACTCTTGGGAATTCTGGTTGAATTTGAATGAAACAGAAACACCACCCGCATGAAGGTAGGGGATGAGTAAACCCATCATGCGTGTTTATTTGATGGAATATTGTGCCGCTGTTAAAATTGATCATTAGGAGGAAAGTGACTACTGGGAAATGCTTGTTTTAATAATTGGTAGAAAGAGAAGCATGAGGGTGATGTGCTATTTTTATTCCAAGTTTGGGCCGGGCTTCCAGTCACCGAGGGAGTCGTGTTCCCTGCATTGTTTCTTTCTCCTGGCAAACCCCCACAGCTGGGCATAGTTTACCACCCCCATTATGTAGACTGGGAAACTGAGGCCCCGAGGGGTTAGTAATTCGTATGGGATTACCTAGCTGCCGTGTAGTGTTCCTCAGTCAAACTTAGATGACACTTGGCGGTGCAGAGCTTTAGAGTTGGAGGCGACAGAATTATTGATTTTTAAATCCTCTTTCAAAATGTCTCCAAGTTTAGTTACACTATTTAACTAAAAGAAGAAGAATGAGAGAACATGGGCTGGGCCTGACGGTAGCTCAGAGGGTGCCGCAATGCTAGCTTAGGGGGGCCGGAAGCAAGGCCTCCAGCCCTGGAAGTAACCAGGGCAGGTGCACTGGGAGGGGATAGTCAGAAAAGGAACAGTGGGTGATGGGATTCGTTCACTTGGATTTCTGACCTTCTGGTTAACGCCCTCCTTCCACCCATCCCAGAAATGAGAGTTCAAGGGAGGCAAGACATCTGGGAGAATTAGCCGTCCTCTGTAGGTGGGTGTGGGGCCAGCACAGGGAAAGTCCAGGCTGCCGGGTGGGGCGGGGCCATGGCCCCTCATCCAGCCTCCCGCAACATCCAGGCTGGCTGTCAGTGCAGCGTGTCGTAGGCAGCTACCCTTTTGGAGTCTTAGCCTAATGAGCTACTGGGGTTTGGGACCGGGCTTCATTACCAGCATTTGGCGAAATCGAACAAATGTATATGGAAACCGAGATGCTTATCCCATTTGGGGAGAGAGATGGGTGGTGAGATGGGGCAGACCAGAGTGCAAATCTCAGCCTAGTGATCTTGGGCAGGCCTGGCATCCTGTCTGCCTCGATGTTCTTACCTATCTACTGGGTCTTCCTGACTCCCAGCTCCAGAGGTCAGGGTCTTAAGGCTGAAATGAGGTGCTGGTTATGGAATGCTAAGCACAGATCCTCAGATCCAGCCGATGGATGTTTAAAAGCCACAGCTACTCAGAATTATGCTTGTAGCTTGGCTGGTTCTTGGCTGCGGGGTCCCTCTGAGCGTACAGACCACGTGTCCTAGGGTGACAGGGTCTGCCCGCCCGTCTTTCCCAGCCTGCCTCTATCTGTTCTGAGGTGGGGAACTGAGTGGGCTTAGGCCTCTGGGGGGCAGGGAGGGTCCCAGTGTAGGTAGCTGAGCAGAATTCAGGAAAGTCCCAGCCGACACCTAGGATGACATCTGAGGGTAGCTTCAAGGATGTGGGGAGTTTCTACAAGGTAGGAAGAGAGGAGAAGAGAAGAGAAGGTACTCATGGCTGAGGAAACCAAGGCCAAGAGGTCTGAAAATATCTGGCAGAGCAGGGCCCCTTTGCTGTTTCTTGACTCTGTCCCCAGCACCTCATGCCACGCAGGACTCCGTAAGTGCCGGGAGGCACAGTCACAAGCCACGTGCTCTTTTTCCTTCTTCCAGAATGGGACGTTGGCGCCTCCAAGGCTGTGGTGAACGGCTTGGCACCTGGCAGCGATGGGCAAGACAAAGGTAAGGCCCTTGGAGAGAAGCCTGGCTTGGTACCAGGAAGCATTTCTAGAAGATCCAGGGTATGTGGGGCCAAGGCCATCCCACCTGCCTGGAGGGAACATCATTGGCCTAAGCAGGCCATGAACTGGGGACCTATGCCCCACACCGATTTTATGAGACCAGGATCCAGACACTGCCATGCCCCCACCTTGAGGAAAGCTGTAAACACTGTCCCCAGCTCACAGGGATTCTGTGATGACAGGACACATACATGGACCCAGGCATCCCATGCCTGGGACAGATGGCATCTGTCAGCCTGAAATATCCCTTACCTGGTCTTGCATTGTCACCTATAATAAACTGTGGCACCTCCATGGTCCTGACCCCGAGGCAAGAGCTAAATCATTAAAATAAATGATTTCAGTGGCATCGTTTCATGCACACCCGCTCATAGTTTGAGTTTTAAAAAATTTTAGGATTCATGATTCAGATGTGAAACAAATGATGGATAGGATGGCCTTTGAGGTGCCGTTTGCCCTGGAGGCTTTCATCTTGACCTCAACCTGGCTGCCCAAATAGCCGGGCAGCAGGGCTCCCAGTGCCTCTTCGGCAGTGCGTGTGAAGGGGCACCCGAGCTGCAGTGATGAGACGTGGGTTCAAGTCCTGGCTCTGCCGTTTGCAGACAGGGACATCTCAGGCGGTCCGTTATCTTTGCGGGTGTAAGTTCTCTTATCTACGAAATGAGGGACTTTGACGATGTGTGATATTCACTCCTGCTTCAAATTCAGAATTTGAGTGTCTGCTCATCTATCAGAGAGGAAGGGCAAGAGTCCTGGCACTGGGCAGTTAACGAAATGCAACATCTCTCAAAGAGTGATGTCAAAGAATTTGGCATTTTGGCCTTTGTAATTCCCACCTGGTTCAACCAAGTATTCCGAGTCAAGGCACAGTGTGACGTCAGGTGGGACCAGCCAGAGAAGGAAGACCCAGAAAGCAGAAGGAGCTTGGGAATGGGGGCCCAGATGGTGTGGGGGTGAGTTCCTCAGTGGCAGGAAGGGTCCTGCTGCATGCTTAGCATCCAATGAGGAGCGCGGGAGGGGTGGGGACACCATGTGTTTAAAACCTGTGGGACCATCGGTGAACCCATTTAGGTATAGGGGGAGGGTGGCAGAAAGAGGTGGGTCCCATTCTTTTCTCTGTGAGACTCACTTTTGCCTGGGAACAAGGGGGCAGGTGTGACCTGAAGGTCACTGGGCTGGCCTGGGAGGTTGTGGGGTGTCAGGTGCCAGGGTAACTGAGCTCCGGTCCCAGCCTCTCCACTGAGGACTGAGTTGACCCTGAGAAGTTCGCTGAGCTGTTGACTCCTTCCTCTGAAAGCAGTTACAGAATCTCCCACCCCACCAGTCTCCCAGGAGGCCGTACGAGTAGTGAGTAGGATACACACAGTGTTGTCATCATCAACCTCGTCGTCACAGTCCGACACCATGGGACAGCCACATGCCTTCTGAGGTGGCAGCATGATGGACCAGAAGGGGTATCTCCTGCCATCTCTCCTGTCCCTGTGACAGGCTCACCAGCCTGATGCAGATTCTGCAGTGACGGTCTTGTTCCCACACAGACCTACTTCCTGTCATCTGTGGGTCTGGACCACAGGACCCTGGGGTGTCGCTCTTTGGGGTGACTCTGGCACCCTAGCACAGAGCTCCTATCTCTTTACGTGCTGCCCTTAAGGGAGAGGACCAGGGGGACACCCCACAACAGACTTGCTGTGAACAGGATTACAGGAGTGCCCACCCTAGAGACCGCAGACTCTGGGCGGGCTGGGAGGCCAGGGACCCCACGCATAGATACACACGTGCAGCCATCACCACCTCCCAGACAGGTATCCCCCCTCTGCCGCAGCTCAGCAGGGTGTCGGGACCCTGGGCTGCACTTGTGTGCTTCCCAGAGCCGTGTGCATGCACGTGGACACTTGGCACCTCTTGGGCCCAGGCAAAGGTGGGATTAAGCAAGACCATCTGCAGTCTGCCAGATGGGAGTTCTGGTTTGCTTGGGACCAGAAGGCTGTGGTTGCCAGAACGGGCACAGGACCCCAGCAGTGATGATTTGGGGGTTGCAGCTGTGAAGGCTGGAGGGACTGGGCACCTCACGAACTTGTTCCTTCTCGCTCTCATCTGGAGCCTGTGGCCACAGCGGTCCTCCTCAGAGCCCTGTCCCCAGCATTCCCTGGGGCCCCGTGGACCCCTGATTGCTCTCTCCTTCCCGTTTGCCAGGCCATCTGTGTCTCTTTCAGTCTCTTTGTCCAGAGCTTGGCAGGCTCCTGGCCTGGCAGGAGGCACCGATAAACACTGACCAACTGTACTTGGGTGATGGTCAGGGTGGGCTCCCTTGTCTTGGCCTAGGACTCCAAGGAGAGAACGCGGGTTGTTTTTAATGGCTGCATCCCCTGCCGTTCATATTGTTCTCTTCTCGTGGCCACTTCCTCCTATTGTTCCTGCCCAGTTCCTCAACTGCCTGAGTGTTTCCCAAATGTTCTCTCTGGATGCACCATTTACCCCTTTGTGTTTTCAGCAACTGCCAACCCTTTGCGCAAGCGCTCTATCTCTGCTGTTAAAATAATTCCCGTGAAGACAGTGAAAAATGCTTCGGGCCTAGTTGTCCCTCCAGGTATCTCTCCTTGGGTTGGTTTCTCTTCATGGCGCGCAGATCACGCATGGTCCTCTTTTCTTCTTTCCTTCTAACAAATACTCCGAGGCGTAACCCTTGCATGTTCAGGTGGCATTCGCCCTCATTTCCTCGGTGTGTTTCCTTTCTTCCTCTGTGTGTGAATGTGGATGTCTGTTGTGTGTGCTTTTCTGGGAGCCAGAGAACGCAGGGAAGAGCTGGGTACAGAGGCCTCGCCCCTCAGGAGAAGGGTTAGCCCAGAGGCTAGACATTCATTGGGGAGGGGTCTGAGGTGCATGGACCTCTGGGCTCCTGCTAGGGGTTTCCACTTCCCTGAGGATTAACCTGGTCTCACGGGGAACTTCTGAACTGAGCCAGATTTGAAGCAGCTGCCTTAGATGCCAAACCTAGACTCCCTCTGGTGCTCCCTGGGCCGTTTCCAGAGCATCCCTGTCCCCTCTTGACTTTGCCCACAGTCACTTCCTGCCTCGCCTCTGGGGGGGGGAGTCTGGGGGAGGGGGTACGGTTCAGACGTCAGCCCCAGATCCTAGCATCCTTCTGTACAAAGTGAGCTGAGCGAGGCCCAGGTGGGACTTGACCCATGGGCGCTTTCAGAAGTCAGGCTCATCTGGCTGTGCATCCAGGAGCCTGTGGCTGGCTTGGAGTTATCTGTCTGCAATGAGGGAACTGGTTTTCCAATAGTTTTGTGACATCAGTCCCTTCGCCCCTCTATGGAGTTGGACGAGTCAGGTGCTCTGCCAGGCCACTGCCTGTCCTACCACGCATTATGGCTTTGTGCCTCGCTTGCAGGGGAGAGGTGCTGACGGGGCAGGTCTGCTCTTTGGCACTCGTGGTCTGTCTGAGCTGCTGGAGGGGGGTGGCTACAGTGGGAAGCAGAGAGGGATGAGGCTCTGCTTCTCTCTGCCCTCTCACAGGAAACGGGGATGGCTGAGCCCTCGTCTCACCCAAACGTGCGCCCTACTCTAACCCGTAATTCTAATTGTGACGATTTTAGGTCAGGGATCCAGGCTGTGAGCAATTGGAACAAACAAAACAAAACAACAGTGGAGTTCAGCTTAGCTCAGCTGCACATCAAAAAAAAATTCAGCACGTGTGCCTTCTAGAATTGTGTGGGCTGCACCAGTTGCTTGCCACCCTGTTACTGGTTTTGCAGCAGGATGGGCACCCGGGTCTTTTGAGATCCCTCTCAGGAGACCTCTTGAAGTTGACCTGGGTCTGTCATTTGGCCCTCCTGGAGCTATAGGAGAGGGTGGGACCCTGTGAAGACCACCAAGGCTCAGGGAACACTGTTCATTGAAGGATTCTGTCTTTCTAGTTGTTTTTGTTGCTGTGCGTTCTTTCGCCATGTTGGAACTTCAAGTTCTAACTTGTGAGCTTTCTGGCCAGGCAGAGTATATAGAGGTCTCAGCTTTCCGGGGTTTTGACTCGCTGTTCATAAGGGATTCGGTTTTCCTTTTCCCGTTGGACAACTGCAAGGAGCAGTGATCCTCCCAGAGACCCCCCTGCCCCCAACTCCCCACGTTGCCAGCTGGCTCTTCAGCAAGAAGGATGGTCTGGAAGCTTGAGAAATCTTTTGTGAACCTTTCTTGAACTGCGCCTTACTAATTGGCCAGAAGTCTGCTCACCAGCCTAAACTTCATTTAATAGTGGGAATAAACCTGCTTTCATTTGGAAATGTTTTCAGCTGATACTATAATGCATCCATCTGCTCAGAACTCACTGTTGCCTCCGCGTTCCCCTAACTTCATGGCACACGGTCAACCTCTGAAAACGCGATGTGTCCTTCTCCATCACTCACACGTGCATCGTCATTGGCCACAAGGGTCGGACGACTCTGCGAGGCCATAACCTGGTTCATCTCATTCCCCGACTGGAGCAATTTGCTAACTGACTGCCACGGTCCTCCCTCAGGAGTCTTGGGCTCAGCCTTCTCTTCTGGGTCTTTTCTTTTCAGACATGGATCCTACAAAAATCTGCACCGGGAAGGGAGCGGTGACTCTCCGGGCCTCATCTTCCTGCAAGGAACTCTCAAGCAGTAGCCCTGCGAGCCCTCAGGAAACCCCGCAACACGAAAGCAAACCAGGTGCGCTCCCCCTGATCCTGTGAGCTGGGGGTGGCATAGGGGGTGTGGGGTGAAGGTGGGGGCGAGGTAGGGGAGGCGTTCGTAGCCACAGGGAGACAGCAGGCGGCCCTCGTGCTTTTGCTCAGGGGGTGTGAATTCACAGGGGGTATGAATTCGTCAGCTTCCTCTTGGGGGTCCCTGGGACAGTCAGATCCTGTCCCTTCTGTGATGGGTGGAGGTCAAAGCCCTCAGCTGACAGGTAGTCACGTGCTTCAGGTAAAGGCACCACAGTGATCAACACTTTATGTTAGCTTAGACCGAGCAGAGAACCCTGTGACAGGAGCCAGTGCTCTGTACTCTGCATGCATGTGGACTGAAATGGCTTACAGGTGTGGGGGGTGAGTGGCGAGATGGGCTGGGAGGTGGGCTTCCGAGAGCTCAGCCCTACTTCCCAGAGGATCGCTGTGACCTGTCCAGGCAGGACCGGGCTGGAGAAGCAGAGGGAGTGACGGAGAACTGCAGATGGCTAAGTGACCTCACTCTAAGGAAAGTAGGGGTGTGTGGTGCTTAGCCTGGGGTGTGGGACCAGCCAGCTGTGGGAGCAGGATCAGGAGAGAATTTCTAAGGCTGGTGTCGACTAGGAGTGAAAAGAGGTCAGAGGAGCCGTGGGAAGCCCACCTCTCCACCCTTGCCTGTAACTCAGGGCCCCTGCGTGTTTAGTGCCTGGTGTTGCGGTTTAGACCTGGGACTTTGGAAGCCGATAGATCTGTGTCCACATCCTGCTCCCACCACCTGGTTGGCTCTATAGCCTTGGATGAGTTATTCTTTCTCTCCATCCGAATGATCTCCTCTGTAGAATGGGTTTGTTCATTGTACCCACCTTAGAGTAAGAAGTATGTGAAGTGTTTGGTACCACCCTGGTTACGTGGAATAAGCTGGTAGATGTTAGCTGTTGTTATTAGATTGGGTTTAGCATGATCCTGGCCTCTAGAGAGGCCCAAGTATTCTAGGAGTTGGGAAATGTTGATTTTGGGGTTCCCTGGGTACAGTTAGTTTAGGGAGGACAGCCCCCTTCACTCTGGAGGGCAGTGCTTCTCACACTTTAGCTGTGTCATTCATTTGCAGTCAAGAAAGACTGCTGGACTCAACCCAGAGTGTTAGAATGTATGACTCTGGGCTGGGCTCAGTGGCTCAGCCTGTAATCCCAGCACTTTGGGAGGCTGAGAGTTTGAGACTAGCCCGGGAAACTTGGCAAGACCATGTCTCTACAGTAAATTAAAAAATTAGCCAGGTGTGGTAACACGCGCCTATAGTTCCTGCTACTCAGAAGGCTGAGAGGGGAGGATTGCCGGAGCCCAGCAGGTCAATGCTGGGATGGCCATGAGCGTGCCACTGCACTCTGGCCGGGGCGACAGAGTGAGGCTCCAACTCAAAAAAAAAAAAGAATATTTGACTCCTGCTTGTGGGTCTGAGGCAGGGTCTGAGATTTGCACTTCTGAATGACCTAAGGGTCATGCTGTTGCCGCTGGCCTAGGAACCGCATCTGACAGCTCCTGCTCTGGGGGTGGGTGGGAATTTTCTTTCTTGAAGGAAATGAAGGGAGAAACTGAAGCGAGGGAATGACCCCTCCCTTGGGACCAGAGAGGAAAGGAAGTAGGGCACGAACCCCCTTTTGGCAGCGGGCGCAGAGTGTGGTGAGCAGATGGAGTCATGTGGGATGGCGATGGTCGGTGCCCAGCGTCCCAGAAACAGACTTGCTTCCCGTCTCTGCCCCCTGCGACAGGTGCCGAGGCAGACGCCCGAGGACGAGGCCAGGCTGGGTGATGCTGGTCCCCGGGGAGGGGCTGCCTCGTCCTCAGGCTGAGGGCGGGCCTGAGCAGCCACAGCACTAAACGCCGGTGTAGCCACTTCTTGGTTCTGCATTCCTGGGCCAGCTCTGCCCCCTGACCCGCTGCAGTGTGATTCTCTCCAGAAAAGCAGTGGGGAGGCCAAACTCTTTCATTCTAAGGCTAACCTCATCCCGCTTCTGGGCTAACTGGAGAGGTTCCGCTCACAAGCTGGAGGACATTTGGGGAAGAGAGAATCCTAAGGCATGAGCCAAAGAAAAAGACCTTCCCTGCAGCCCCCCGGCCCAGAAAAATGACTTTGTGAACCAGCCTGTCCCCAATGGAGGGTGTGGAGGAAAGGGAGCCGTGGGCTCCCTCTAGGGGTTGCAGCGTGGCACTGACGTAGAACACAAATGCTACTCACCGTGTGTTTGTGCTACCTGGACTGGACTGGATTTGAGACACCTTTGGAAGCGAGCGCTCTCTCGCACCAAAATAATCCTGTATCTTACACATTTCTACCAACTAATTTTGGTCCTTTTCACTAAACCATCACCAGGTTGTTTGACGATACAAATAGTGTCCTCAGAAGAATTGAAGGGTCGCTATCAGCCTCTTATCCCTTACTGTGCATTAATGTTAGTATTTTTCTCCTGCTAAACTGAGATTGTTGAGTCCGAGCGAGCACACGTCCATTCAGCATCATCTGTGTTCCAGGTACCAAGCGAGTCCCTGGGTGTGTGATGAGAAGTGGAGAGAAGAGAGGAAAAGAAAGGTTCCTTCCAGGTGCATTAGGGGAGGGCAAAAGGCAGTTTATTGCAACAGAAAGGTCGGGTGTGAACTCAGTTGGCTACCTTGCTTTCTGAAGTGGGTAAGTCCTGGTGACTTTGAAGCCCGGGTAAAGGAAGAAGGACTTGGACAAGACGCTTTCCAAGGCTGCCTAGTCCCAAAATGCTCCATGCCCTTGGGAAGTTTGGAAATTGGCCGGACACAAATGGAATCCCTTGGACAGGGGGTACATTTAAGATGGTCAAGTAGGGAGTTTGGGTGAAAAGAAACAAAAAAGGGTTTGGGTAGCGGAAACAAAACGTCCACACGTACTCAGTAAGTATAAAGCAGGCTGGGTTGGATTTGACACCAGGGAGTGGGGTTGAAATGATGTGAGTGTAGAAATAGGACATTCAGGAAGGGGACTTTTGTCCTCTTACCATGCTTCTCATTGGTCAACCTCCTACTGACTTTTTTGTTGTTGTTCGGGTCTCGCTCTGTTGTCCAGGCTGGAGTACAGTGGCACGACTGTGACTCACCACAGCCTTGTGAACTCAAGGGATCCTCCCACCTCATCTCCTGAGAAGCTGGGACTACAGGCGCGGACCACCACACCCAACTAATTTTTTTATCTTTTGTGTGTGTAGGGATGAGGGTTCGTTATGTTGCCTGGGCTGGTCTCGAATTCCTGGGCTCAAGAATTCTCCCACCTCAGCCTCCCAAAGTGCTGGGATTGTGGGCATGAGCCTCTGCGTCCAGCCTCCTGCTGGCTCTTGACTATAGAGGTCTTCCTCTCATCCCTGCCTACTGTCTCCTTATAGACCTCTGGGTGACATGCCCTGTCAGTCTCCTGTCCCATCCTGGGATCGGGAAGCCCCTAGGCCTTCGGTCACCTCATGAAAGCAGTTTTCAGCAGCACTTGCCAAAGCCATGCCCAGCCTGGCCTGGGAACCCGAGTGGGAGGCAGCGGGGGGCTCTTGCCAAGGATCAGGCCTGCTTTTCTTCCCAGTGCCTTTACAGATAGCTTGTGTCAGAGGGCGCCTGGCTCCCTCGCCTGTCGCCAGGGCCAGCATCTGTCCCCCAGCTACTCTGTCTGCCTCCTCTCTGCCTTATTCCCTGGCTCTGCCACCCTTGTCAGTCCCTGGAGGTGTCCGGGTTGTTGATGATTTGCCTGGACTGGAGGCTGCGATCCTTCCATGACCCCCTGACACTTGCATTTCAGAGGTGTCCCTGTTTCCGGTCCATGCTCTGACTCCTCCATCCCGGGAGAGGCGGTATAGTTCTGGGGTCACAAAGGCCTCCAATGAGACCAATCCTTGCCACATACTATCTCTGTGATGAGGGCAAATTACTCCACCTTTGGGGACTTCAGCTGCCTCATCTGTAAGATGGGGATGGTCACAGCAGAGTTATTGGAAGTATGGGAGTAAATAAGCTCTTTCAGATCAAGCGTTTAGCACAGGCCCAAAGTGAGGACTCTTTAATGGTAACCATTCTGGTTACTGCAGGCCAAGAGGTTTGTTAAGATTTTCAGTAATTGTCTGGTTGTGGTGGCTCAGGCTTGTAATCCCAGCACTTTGGGAGGCATAGATGAGAGAATTACCTGAGCCCAGGGGTTTGAGGCCATTCTGGGCAACTTGGTGAGACCTCATCTCTACAATAAATCAGGAAATTAGCCAGGCAGGGAGGCACATGCCTGAAATTCCAGCTACTTGGAAGGCTGAGATGGAAGGATCGCCCTAGCCCAGCAGGTCGAGGCTGCAGTGGCCATGAGTGTGCCACTGCACTGCAGCCTGGGCATCAGAGTGAGAATCTGGCTGGAAGGAAGGAAGGAAGGAAGGAAGGAAGGAAGGAAGGAAGGAAGGAAGGAAGGAAGGAAAGATATTTGACTCATGGTTCTGCAGGCAAGAAGCATGACACCAGCATCTGCTCAGCTTCTGGTGAGGCCTCGGGAAACCTTTACTCATGGTGGAAGACCAGGGGAGTCACTGTGTCACATGATGAGAGAGGGAACAAGAGAAGGGAGGCAGTGCCAGGCTCTTTTAAACAACCAACTCTCTCATAGACTGATAGAGTAAGAACTCGCTCATGACCATGGGGAGGGCACCGAGCCATTCATGAGGAATCCACCCCCACAACCCAGACACCTCTCACTAGGCCCTACCTCCAACACTGGAGATCTGTTTCAACATGAGATTTGGAAGGGACAAAGATCCAAGCCGCATAATGGATTGTTGGAAATTTGGAGTCCCAGGTACAGATTTGGGAGTCATCTGCATTCACATGGACTTCGGGAGGATGGAGACATTCGCTGAGGTAGAGTGACAGATGGAGTCCTTGGAGCGGCTCAGTTCAAACCCATTCTGCAGACTCTTGCATTTGAGTGGTATTTTGACTCAAGATCTCTGATCACACCTTTCTGATCAG